TACAATGGATTGCAGATGGTTGATTCCAATTAGAAGACGTCATTCTGCATTTATAAATCTGATAACATAACGAATTAGTATTCATAAGTTCAAGATTCAACTGGAATTTCATCATATACCGTTTATGTGCCATTACTGCTTCGCATTTTATATTAGATAAAATTAGTACTTTCGGTAGTATAAGGATCTATCGACATCTAGCATATGAGTACAACTGTGACCATAATTAGAAAATGCATATCTCTATAATAAGAAGAGCTACTGCTAAAAGCATAACGTTTATTTGATTTATTTTTTATATAAATAAAATACCTTTAATGGAACTGAAGTAGAAAAGCTGATTCTGTAATTGGCTTAGGTTCGGATAAAAGTGGCCTCATAAATATTGTTCAATCTTGTTACAAAACATGTGAGAATCTTTTTCCTGAAGTTTATGTTGAAGACGGAAAAAAGTCCGTTATTTATGATATAACTGGTGCTGGTTTACACAAAGAATTAGCCACTGGAAATAAATTCTTACTTATGCATGAAGCAGATGCTAACTTAACCAAGCTGGGCTTCTATCAATATGGTAAAAATGATGTTTTGTCTTTTTACAAATCAATAGTTTTTGTACCAATTAATAAGATTAGAAGAGTTTCACATAGATATAGAATAATCTTTCTTTTGCAATTGTAATTCTATTCTATAATTCAGATGAGATTTAAGATTGTTGTTTTGATTGATTATTAAGCAAGTAACATTAGATAATTACTACATGATACAAATTGTTATTGAACATCTTCGATAAAAGCTCCATCAAATTTTTTTGTAAGTGATTTGAATATGCAATTTTCTTTTCTTTTGCACGAACTTGATGGATTCATCTTTTTCATATACCAAATTTTGCAAGTTCTTTTCGAGTTAAAAATTTTGGCTTAGACCTCATTGCTATTTGATCTTAATAAATCATGAAAAAAATAAGAAATAAAGATGATTTCTCTTAAAATTTTTTTCGTTTTATGTTTGTTGAATTTCGTATCTTGTTTATCCAAATATACAAGTCTTAATTCTAAGTCTTTAATCTAGCCAAGATCGTTCATTTTTTACTATGAAAATCAAAGTTTCTCAGAATAGGAATCGAAGTAAAAAATAAAAATTTTTGAAAGTGTGAAAATCTGAGTCAAAGATATGAAACTTTTTGGAATCTGAGTCAGGTTGTAAAATGAAAAGGTTGAATCCACAGAATTCTAGTTGACATTACGAGATATACGTTAATATATTTTGATTTAGGACACATGGGAACGGTTTCTAACCGTTCGCTGTTATGTGAAGCCTTTGATGGCTTCTCAGAATCTTCCAAAACCACAGGCATGTATGACTTTTCGATTGAAAATGCCCGTTTGTCATTGTTAGGTGCATGTACTAGTGGTTCTTTCCATCTACTTTTAGCACGATATTCGTTACATAAAATATCTGATGGTTGTGAGAATCGTTTTCTGTACCACTTTGTGGAAAACAATTTAATATCTTATGACCTGATAAAAAAATCAGATCGATTCTTACCTTCAATACAGCAAATATTCGTTGCTATCCATTTAATGGGAAAAATCTTATACACATTTGTAGATTCATTAGGAAATGATGAGTCACAACGATTCTATGCAACGAAAGCAAAATATTATATTGCAGAAGCACAACGATTATTTAAAGATCGACAACAACCACATCTTCAATCGTTTTATTCAAAAAGTGCAGAAATATTTCCTAGACTTTGTGTTAATATGCAGCGTCTTTTAGACGCAATGCTTGTTTTATTCGAAATGAGAAAAAATGAAGATTTACAATTTACACAAGTTGTTGATCAAACATTTGTTACAAAAGCAAAATTTTACATTGAGAAACATTTGATCTTTAACAAACATGCTAATGGTGATATTGTTAGTTATGTTTCGTTAGAAACATGTCATATTACTGCAAATTTATTCGACAATTACTTGTTTAAGAGCACGTTAAATTTGTTCAATTTAGAACATTCAGTAAATCAACCAAGTATGCCATCTACTCAATTTCGTACATTAGTTGCAGAAAAACCATCAACAGAAAAAAGAATATTACAATTACCATATCAGTTTTTTCTTCGTTCTGATTTAAAACAACCAACAACGAATGAAAATGGTAAACGAATTAATGCTCCTTTTCATCATGTAGACAACAATTTATTAAACAATATAATGAATAAATTAGTTGATCAAAAACTACTAAGCATCGGATATTACATTTCTCGTCCAAGAGCACAACAAACTCAATCATTTATAAAAAATCCAATACATATTGAACCATCAGAAAAAGAACAATTTCTTCAACACTTGGAAGAGTATAAGATTAATGCAGATGAATATCAAAATTTACTCAGTCGTTCAAATCTCCCTAATAATTGTACTCTTCTTCAAGAAGCTAAACAATTGTTAACCACCAGAGTTGAACATCGTGATGATTGTACGAAATATGGTCTGATATCAATAGGTATGTACGATGGTATTGTATTTTTACTCATCTTATAAATAATATAGAAGAACTTTATCTCTGAATTGATCTAAAATATGTTGCAACATATATTTTCTTTGTAAAATTAGTCTCACGAAATATTTTATTTTAGTGAATGTCAACAATGAACATGCATCTGATGGTACAATTGCATTAAACTTTGGAAATATTGCTAATACAACTGATCGAAGTTTATTTGTTGAAATGCCTGCTGTGGTAACAACAAACAACAAATCTCATGAAACAGATCAGCTAGTTGATATAAATAACACAGACAATGTCTTGCTGAATAAGAATGATGAAGTAGTGACACGTAAGTTGGTGCATTTTAATAATTTTTG